TATATATATATATATATATATATATATATATATATATATATATATATATAAAAATATGGTACAAATGCCACTCTGCTGCAGTCAATGGTGTTGTTTCAGGCTCTTATTCCACCTGTGAATTGGGTTTGACTAGTCTAAAGTGATACTATAATGCATTTTGGTGCTGAACCAATACAGTTCATACAGCAGAAAAATACTTACCTGAAGAAGTATTTTTTTAAAGAACTGTAGGGGGGCATTATTCTACTGTTTATAATTTATCATCGGATACAGAACACAGTCTTTCAATTCTACAGTTACAAGTGCGTTGTCTGCTCTTACAGTTTTATATGGAGTCTCATGATATCCAATGTGTTTCTTAAAGCCCCAGCTCCTGGAGTCATGCAATTAAGAGCCTCGGCTTTCATTTTAAAAACAAGTAGTAAGTTTCTAGTCCTCTGGTCACAGAGAGAAGCTTGAAAACATGACCTAGGTGCACTGCACCCTAAAAGCTCAAATCCCACAAGCCAAGTAAAAAGAACCCCAAAGATATTAAACATAATTTTTACAACAATTTCCTGAAATTTAGGAGCCTGACTCATGATATTTAAAGACTGGGATTTGGCAATGCTGCAACAGTTTGAATCTTGTTCCCATCAGTGTTGACGAAAAGTCACAGCCATCTGATGGCTGTTTGGCAGCCTGTGTGAAATGACTTTTGTGATGTGTATGTCCTATACTGAGACCATTATACTGGGCCTAACTGCCACCTTTGGTAACAAAGAGACCAACCATTTTCAGGACTTGGAGGTTTAAGTCTGTCTCTATGTGACAGAGATTGGAATACCCTGGCAGAGAAGTGCAAGGAACCTTGTGTTATGTGGCCAGTGCCACATTTGCTTAGCGAATAAACAGAGGATTTAGCGATCCAAGGATGCCAAATCTAACACCTTTCATCAGCACAAAAAATTAACGTAAGGAAAAAGTAGCTAATGTAAGGGTATGTACAGCATTTCCTTCTAGACAGTCATTCCTGAATGGGCAAGTACCTCAGTATCTTTGGGACAGAAAACAAGAAGACGTCACAGATGACTAAGCTGAGGGTACCAAGAAGGAAATAGGTTCCAAACATGTTCCAAAATGCTTTCAACAGTGGCTCACTCTGACTCTGTTCTGGCTGCAGTAGAACCTGGGTCTCTTCTGTCTCAACCAAACCAGCTCCACTTTGTTGATCCTTCTTGTATTTGATGGATTCTGTGTTTCTAAAGAAATAAACACAAAGAAAATTGGCTGCAATCCAAAGAAGGCCTGAAATGTTTGACTTGGGCTGTCAACAGCACTATAAACACCCCACACTTGGAATCGGGGCTTCCCAAGTGGCCTGAAGAGTGAGTTATTTATTTGTATTGTGGCAGCACTTAACAGCTCCAGTCATGGAACAAGACCCCTGTAAAAATACAGAACAAAACGATGGTCCCTGCCCCAAAGCAGTTCTGGATATTTGGACATTAAAGGATGTTCCCCAATAGATTTCAACATAGTGAAGGTCAGATGTAAGCTCTAAATGATAAATGGCCAAAAGATCACCTGGCAGTGGAAAGAGCCCAAGGGAAGGGAAACTCCACAAAGTTCTCCTTGCCGAGTATTCCATCCACAGGGGCTGCCTTCCCCCTTCCACTAGTTGAATGAGTTGAGGATTCAATGGCAGTGACTCCATTGCCCATTCTCTTGTGCAAATAGGGAATACAATGGCCCTGGGGCTGCCTCATCTCTGAAGCTGCAGAAACAGCAGCAGTGCAGCTTCCTTCGCACCCTACCACACTCAGCCCCCACGGCGATCTCCAGCACACAATCCCTCACATGGGCTGAGCCCTGATGTCCAGGATTTGGCCCTATCAGCATAAATCCCACGATTTAGTCTTTAATGAGAACTAGATGGTGTCAAACGGGGCTCTGAGGTGGTGTGTTAGCACCTGGGAAGCTGAACATGCTAGGTCTGCACTAGCTACAGGAGAAACTCCCACCCTCTGGAACAAGTGCTTACTGCTTGGCTCTATTACAGTACTTTTTCCATTCTCTTTCAAACTGGGAAACAATTTCCTCTGAGGAGTTTTCTTTCATCAGTGACCATAAGTCGTCTGCTTGTAATGGCTGACGATAGCCTTTCCAGACTAGCCTGTAAAATAAATGGTTAACACCCAAGCTAGGATAACCAGACAGCAAATGTGAAAAATTGGGATGGGAGTGGGGGGGTAATAGGAGCCTATATAAGAAAAAGACCCAAAAATCGGGACTGTCCCTATAAAATCGGGACATCTGGTCACCCTAACCCAAGCACAGAGGATTGTGTGTCCAAGAAAAATGTTCAGTTGATTGGCCTTAAATTAGTCCTAGATATTAAGCCTAATTCTCAGTTACTCCGTTCTTGAGCTTGGGGCAGGGACAGAAAGGTGAGGACAAAGGTGACTTTAAGCCCACTTTGCAACCTCCATGTTCTTGGGGCTATTCAGTGGCCTTGTCTTCCCCCCCCCCCCCGCCCGCATAAATTAGATCAGCCCTGAGGTTGTTCAAACTTGCATTCTGCTTCCCATGACTCCTGTGAAACAGAGACAGGGCCTTGGCCTAACTGAAAGCAGGCCCATTGTATGGGGGCATCTGGCACTGTCCTTCCATTCTGCATGGTTGCTGGCTGCCCCACCCCTAAACAGGCCAAATGTTAACATTTACAAGAATATTTTAAGTATTCTCAAAAATTTCAGGAACCACTTTGCTCATGAAAACTAAGCAGCAGGATGGTGCAACTTCATGATCTCTAGCTACCCTGGGGCCCTGTAGAGATTGAAAGAGGCTCTCCTGGCAGAAAGCTGGGATGTTAGCAGGGTTGCAGTGATCATTTTGAAGGGTGGCTGGATTTTTCCAAGTCACAAAGTTACCTGGGCAAATTCTATACTCAAGTCCCCTTCAAATCCAGGTGTGAAAAAGGCCTCTACTGCGCTAGCGTAACTCAGAGCACAGTTTGAGCCCTGGGGAGTACACATAGGTGTCTGAGGAAAGAATTAGTCTTGTTGCAAGGAGCTCTGAGCTTGTCAGCTTTGCTACTGCCCCTAAACCTCAGCCCAGATCCTCAAAGGTATTTAGGCGACTATCTCCCATTTAATTGAAATGGAGTTAGGTGCCCAAAAACCACCAAAGATCTGGGCCCTTCTGCCTTAAGCTGATGGAGCTTATCCGATATTTTAGAGTAAACGTCTCTTGCCGCTTGTTTTCTTACCCAGAGAACCACCAGAAAGTGATTTTGGAAACAAAAGAGGCACCAAGTTCTGGACACGGATTCTGTGAGAGGAAAAACAGACAAGTTTCATATGTAGAAATAGCCACATACTGCATAAACACAATATCCTGGTTTTGCCCCACCAAGAAATTATGTGCAACTTGCTTGTGTTAAGGTACTAAGACTATAAGCAGCAGATCTTTACTAATTCAAATCTGAATAAGGCCTGAGCTGGGAGCAAGGGGTACCCTTTTCGTCATATTATGATCTACAAACACTAATTTCATGCAGGAGTTGGGCTATGACTTGTTTATAAAAAATCAAGTATTACTGCCATGATTGTAGTGAAGGGAGATGCAATGCTGGCTGCACTGGGAAGGCATGTGGCAAATGTCAGCACGGTATGGTAACAGCATGGAAGTGAGGTGTGTGGATAGGGATAGGACACTAGTTTTTCAGAATGTACATATGAAGCATCAGTATGCCAGGTTCAGCACAGGCAGAGACATGGTCCTGTGGCACTGGTTATATAGTCTGTCTGGTCATTTGCACTGTAAACCCTTTTCTCCAATTTGTCCTGTGCAGGGCAAAGCAGAAGCATCTTAAAAAAATACACTTGATTCTCAGGATCAACTATTTCCGGGAGTGACTTTCTGTACTCTCCCTTTGGAGAGATCCACTTACATCTCTCCCTGTCATCTCAGATCTTCCTGAGCAAGGCAGTGAACATAACATGGAATGCGCCTCAATTTGCCATCAAGTTCTAATTTTGCACTTTTAGTAAGAGCTGTTGTTTCTAGATAATTGCCTCTATTCCGATACATTAACCTCATGTGGGACTACATATAGTATTGGTTAAAGCCGCTTTGTCTTGGCTGTCAGACACAAAATGGAATCCTTAGTCATTCTCTGTGTGTACAGTACAGAACATATGATGCTAGTAGGAATAACACTTGAGGCCCATTTCTATTAATGCAGGCTGACATGGGACCTTCTTATATCAAATAATTTGTTTTAAACTGCCTCACTGGCCAGTTCTGTTGTTGTTGTTTGTAATATTTTATTACAGAACTACTTAGGAATTTCATGCAAGTATCAGGGCCCAGACACAGGGAAGAAGTATAAAACCACAATCCTCACCCGAGTGAGTTCACAATGTGGGTGTCAGGATGCAACAGGTGGGGAAAACAGACAAAAGAAGGGTTGATGAATCAATACAATAAATAAATAATAAAATTTTAGACTTATGTTTTCAACCATGTCCCCTGCCTTAGACCGCCTCTGTTTTTGGTACCAAACTCAGAGAGCTCGGGACTGCGTCTCAGAGCTGCAGAGCATCTGCAACTCCAGTTGAAGTCAATGGGAACTAGAGGTGCTCAGTAAGAGCCAAGGGCTGCAAGTTCAAAATAGACAAATTTAGACTAAATCTAAGGTGGACATTTGTAACGGAGAGGTTAATTAACCAGTGGGACAAATTACCAAGGGTGGTGGTGGATTCTCCATCATTGGAAATTTTAAAATGACGGTTGGATGTTTTTCTAAAAGACACATTCTTGTTCAAACAGGCATTAATTCAGGGAGGTCCTATGCTCAGGGCATTACAGGTTAGACTAGATGATCATAGGTCCCTTCTGGCCTTCTAATCTATGAAACCTCTGAAAATCAAGCTGGGGACCCAGAAACCTTGGCATGCCAAGTTACTAGTTTTTTTTAAATACTGGTCTATATGTAGGCTGCCATGTTTTCATCTCAGACATTCATCTGAACTGCCCATTTCCAGCGGGTTTTAGACAAGGGACTGATGAGCTTTGAAGAAGTCAAATATACTTACAGAGTCATTGACAGCTTTTGAGAAGAAGGGAGGCCAATCGGTAAAGAAGAACAGTACGACCTCTACTAGCAGCAGGATAAAATAAATGTAAGAGGTGACATGACGGAAGGGGTCCTCTGGGAAGCCCTACAAAAAAGAGAATTGCTGAGGTTGAGGTAAAATACTTAATGTGAAATCACTAAAGAAAGGTGGATTCACACACTGTGTAAGCCATAAGCGCTGAGTGGTGCTGTGGATGTGTGCCATGTGTATTTCTTGCACCAGTTTCTTATAGAGTGTGCTATATAAGAGTTAAATTACTGTTATTGATATGGAAAACTCATGCAATTTGAAAATCACAACACATGCACTAACAAACCACTGGGGGGAGCTGGAGTGTAACTATAGTTTAGACTAGAGTAAAGGTTTCAGTTTGGGGTTTTCGAAGGTGCATAAAAGAGCTAGATGCTGAAATCCCACTGTAATTCAGGGGGATTTGGGTCCCTTAGCCTGCTTTGAAAATGGCAGTGTCAGGCTTTGACCAGGCAGTTTCCAGTAAATGTTTATGGCTGCTTAATTTAAACTAATGCAAGGGGTCGAGTCCTGTGAGGATATAAATTCCCCATTCACCTATACTTCAAAATGGAAAAAGGCTATTCCCTGGTTTTATTCTAAATAGCGTGTTCTGGAGCTGTTTGGGGAACCTCCCCTTGGGCCTCATAATCCGCTCTGTGTCTGAGACAGGCAAGCAGTGTGGAAGAATGACATGAATGGGAAATTATATCATGGCAATAAAAAGAAGATGGCAATGTCAAATGCCTAGCATGTCCCTAGAGTGTGGGACTAATTAACATTAATTAATTCAATCAATATTAATTCAATACAATAGTGAGTTCCCACCATCCTTGTCTTGTGGGAGTGTATCATTCTTCTATCTGTCAGTGAAATATAGGTGCTGATCTGAACTTCTGATCTTTCCCTGTTGTCACAGAAAGATTCACCTGTGGGGTTTATCACTTAGGAGAATGACCAGTACTGCTAAGTATCAGATCCATAAATCTATCCAGTAAATTTTAACATATAGACGCTCATCCTAATGAAACCAAAACAGCTGGTATAAAAGATCTACAGCAGAAGTGGCTCTCTGAAATCAAGTTGATCTGCCTGATCTTGTCTACACGCACATGTTGTATCTCTTTAATGATACCAGTATAGTTAATGCAGTACAACTCCGTAGTATGGGCACACTCATACTGGTATAAATGTGTTTATACAGGTATAGCTATTCCCAGATGGGAAAGGGAATATACTTTAACAGTATAAGGCGCCTTTATACTAGAAAAACTGTATCCATCCTAGAGGCTGTACTGGAATTACCATACTGGTAAAAATCCACACGCCCTAACTGACACAGTTCTACCAGTGCAAAATCTATATGTAGACCAGGCCTTAGTAACAGCACTAAAATTCAAAGAGCATTTTTCCTTTGATTTGTGTGAGAATTGGGTGCTCAGAAAAGCTGTGGGGCCTGGAGATTAAAGTGCTCTTTTCACCCATAGAACAGATGCAGCCTGGGTAGTGGCAGTGCTCGTTTCTTTCAAACTGCCTGGCCAATGGTCCTCAAGCATAATTCAGTGTGGCTACTTGGAGAGAGCAATTCAGTCTACTGCCCTCTTTAGTTCTTGGCCTAATGGCCAAGACAGCAAACAAGAGGGCCAAATGGAGCCATGCTGTTGTTAAGGCTATGTCTACACTGCACTTTTGTTGGTAAAACTTTTGTCGGTCGGGGTGTGAAAAAAACACACCCCTGACCGACAAAAGTTTTACCGATGAAAAGCACAGGTGTGGACAGTGCTTTGTCGGCGGGAGACGCTCTCCTGCTAACCGCCTCTCATTGGGGATGGTTTTATTTTGCTGGCAGGAGAGCTCTCTTCTGCTGGCAAAGAGCGGCTACACGGGAGACCTTACCAGAGGCACATGCTGAAACTAGAAGTTCTGCTTACCCCTTCCAGGTCCTGTTGAATTTTAGAACTAACAGTCACAGTAGCAGCCAGGAATGACAGCAGCCAATAAATCAACAAGATGCCTGAAGACTGAACACCCTTCAGCCTCTCAAACTGGGTGAGAAACACTGCAGGGATCTGGGAAGAAGAGCGAAACAATGAACACTTGCAAGTGAATGGTCAATAGAGGTTATTGTCTGCTGGTGTCAGATCAGTTCAATGTTAATGGACTGAACTATTGTTCCCATTATGGTAACATTTAATTCTACCACATGTAGGTTGTGGGAAATGGAATCCTCTCTCCTTTCGCCTGGGGCCACTCTGCAGTCACTACTGCAACCTCAGGGATGCCATAGCCTCTGCTGCATCAGCTCCCACATGGTGCTTTGGGTCAGTGGAGCCATACAGGTGCAGACTAAGTGACCACACCACTGTGCCAACCCTGGCCTGCCACCACTTCATGCTGCACCACAGGTGAAGCCTCAGAGAGCACAGCTTCACAGTGCACAGGTTTTTGCAGACAAAACCAGCTCATCTATAGAACCCCATCAGTCCTGCTGTCGATTGGGTCTTCTGTACCCACCAATGCTGAGGGGCAAGAGGGCCAAGACCAGCTTTGCCCTATAATAGTTAAATTGAAACTTATGTTTAAAAAAAAAAAAAGAAATTACCATTGTGATCCCCAGAACTGCTGGGCTAATGAAGAACACTGGAGCTCGTAGGGTTCCTTGATTTATTTCCCAAAGGGTATAGAATAGGTTTGAAAAACACAGTAATATCAATATGAATCCAAGGACCTGGGATAGGGAAACAAACATGTTGGAATGAACTCTAAAAGGACAAGTATGATAACAGTAGTCTGTGTACTGTAAGGTATCTGAGTGGTTAAAGGGGCGGTTTGGGACACACTGTGATTGGAAGCAGTTTGGGAAGTAGGGGCAGGCTAAGATGGAGAGTGCTACAAGGATTGTTATTCCGTTTTAGGCCAGATCCTGAAATCCTTACTCACTCACTCACTCGGCTCGGAACTGAGCTTACCTGATTAAGAAGAGAGTAAAAACTAAGTCAGGCTCTCCGGATCTGGCACTTATATGGGAGATCCACAATCAGACAAAGACAATGTAACCTACACAGTCATACTAACCACCAAGCAGGAGGAGGATGGGGGATTCAAAGGAGATTATCAAGACAATTTTAACCACTTAGAACAGGAGTGGGCAAACTATGGCCCGCGGGACCGTCCTGCCCGGACCCTGAGCTCCTGGCCTGGGAGGCTAGCCCCTGGCCCCTCCCCTGCTGTCCCCCCCTCCCCCACAGCCTCAGCTTGTTCGCAATGCTCTGGGCGGCGGGGCTGTGAGCTCCTGGGGCAGCGCAGCTGCAGAGCCCGGCCTGACCCGGTCTCTGTGCTGTGCGGTGGCGACGGCGTGGCTGGCTCCAGCCAGGCAGCACGGCTGTAGCGCAGCCAGCCACCAGTGCTCCAGGCAGAGCACGGTAAAGGGGCAGGGAGCTGCGGGGGTTGGATAGAGGGCAGGGGAGTTCGGGATGGTGGTCATGGGGCGGGGATGTGATTGGGGGGGGGAAACAGGAGGTTTAATGGGGGCAGGAGTCCCAGGGGGCAGTCAGGAAGGAGCGGGGGCTGGATGGGGTGACGGGGCAGTCAGGGGACAGGGAGAAGGGGTGGTTGGATGGGGCAGGGGTTCCGGGGGGGGCTGTCAGGAATGAGAGAAGGGGTTGGATGGGGCGGTGGCGGAGTCCGGGGGCAGTCAGGGGACAGGGAGCGGGGGTGTGTGGATGGGGCAGGGCTCCCAGAGGGGCTGTCAGGGAATGGGGGAGGTTGGATGGGGCAGGAGTCCCGGGAGGGGGCAGATAGGAGGTGGGGGCCAGGCCACGACCCCCTCCCCTAACTCTCCCTCCATACAATTTACGAAACCCGATGCAGCCCTCAGGCCAAAAAGTTTGCCCACCCCTGACTTAAAAAAACAAAGTCACAATAAACTTAGCATTAAACACCCAGGCTCTAATACTAGCTAGTGTGACCCTAGTGGAGCAAGCAACAGACTGGGGTTCAGGAGATTTGCCTCTGCACTGGCCTACTTAGGGACCTGGGTCAAGTCCCTTTACCGCTCTGTGCCTCAGTTTCTCCATCTGTAAAATGGGAATAATGATATTGACCTCCTTTGCAAAGTGTTTTGAGATCTACAGATGAAAAGTGCTATATGTCATAGGTAGGTATTATTTTTGATTATTACCATTTTAGTTTTGAAGAGGTGCGACATTCTGATATATCCTCTGCTATGGTGCTCAAGAAACAGGTAATAGAATGGAAAACAGATCCAAAGATAGGCACAGGGAATCCAAGCAATGATTGTATTCTGAAAGCATTGGGTAAAGCTTGGGTTATATGTATACCACGTCTGATTCCAGTCCTGCAACAACATACACAGAGAAATGGTTTAGCACAGCCATAGCCTGCTATCGACCTTACCCCTTTCTTGGACTGTATGGAAAAACAGAGAGAAGGGACCATATCCTCAGCTGGAGTAAATCAATGTAGGTTGGTTGAGGACTACGCTGATTTACACCAGCTGAAGAGCTGTTTTTAAACATTTACAGTTTAAAAGGAGTTTGAACAACAGAGAGATTCAAGGGGGGTGGGGGAATGACATGGTTAAAGAGATGGGAGAGAGAGGTAGATTTAGAATTTTGGATAAACTGGAGGTGGGAGAGGGGAGATGAAGGACGGCTAGAAAGGAGAGATCGGTAAAACTGGGACTTTTCAGCTTGGAAAAGAGATGACTAAAGGGGGATATAATAGAGGTCTATAAAATCATGACTGGTGTGGAGAAAGTAAATAAGGAAGTGTTATTTACTTCTTCTCATGACACAAGAACTAGGGGTCACCAAATGAAATTAATAGGCAGCAGGTTTAAAACAAACAAAATGAAGTATTTCTTCACATAATGCACGTGAAGGCCAAGACTATAACAGAGTTCAAAAAAGAACTAGATAAGTTCATGGAGGATAGGTCCATCAATGGCCATTAGTCAGGATGGACAGGGATGGTGTCCTTAGCCTCTGTTTGCCAGAAGCTGGGAATGGGTGACGGGATGGATAACTTGATGATTACCTGTTCTGATCATTCCCTCTGGGGCACCTGACATTAGCCACTGTCGGAAGACGGGATACTGGGCTAGATGGACCTTTGGTCTGACCCAGTATGGCTGTTCTTATGTTTTTGAGAGAGCTCCAGAAAGCAGAGTAAGAAATAAGCAGGGAATGGCCAGGGATTTTAGCAGTTGAGATAATAAAGAAAAGACAGACTGTGGAAAAACTAGAGAGGAAAAACTGAGAGGATTAAGGAAGAAACTGGATGTGGAGGAGAAAGAGAGGTTAGAGTCAAAGATTACTCCAAGGTTGTGGACCAGGGAAACAGGAAGGCTATGGAGAGTTGTCAATTGAGTAAGATAAAATAGGCTAAGGAGAGGGATTAGGAGGAGAGATAAGGTCTGTTAAATTCAGTATATAAACTGCACTCTGTTACTTCCTTTCCCACCTCCTGAAATCTTTAATGTATAATCTCAGGGAATGTATTTTAAAAATCCCATGATCAGATAGTTGGATTAGGGTGTTAGCATAATGAAATTGACAGTACAATGATTTTTTTTATATTTGAAAATTTGTAAGTAAGTATGTGGATTACAGAAATTACAGAATAACAGCAAAGGTTCCTTCCCATGGGGATCTACAGGGGGAAATAACTGCCAGGCACACTGGGGACAAGTCTGAGCATGTGGTATCTGAAAGGGGTATTCAGCAGGTAACTGTGCTAGTCAGATGCTTACAGTGAATAATGCTTTGGTCCTTACTTTCATGGGCCCTGGTGTTTGTACAGAAATTGGGCCTGAAGGTGGGAGGAAGACGTTACACAGAGAAATAAAACCAAAACCTTCAAACATCAGTGACTGAAGTGAAGCTCCCAAATCTGTATTTAGGCACCTAAATAAAAGTGGCCTGATTTTCAAAGTGCTGAACATCTGCAGTTTAGGGTTGCCAATTTTGGTTGGATGTATTCCTGGAGGTTTCATCACATGACATAATCTTTAATTAAAGATTAATCTTTAATTCCTGGAGATTCCAGGACAATCCTGGAGGCTTGGCAACCCTACTGCAGCTCCCATTGATATCTGAGAGATTTGTGGGTGTTCAGAGAATTAGGCCCTTTTTATTAAGATGTCTAAACATGCATTTAGGAGCCTAATTTTAGGCAGCCATGTTTGAAAATCTTGTCCTACATTTCTTGAACTCTTCCTTCTATCACCAGGGTAGAACAGATGGGACTGGGTGGATATTTTTGGTTCTCCTGGAGCTTTTAGGGGGTAATGAATAGGAGGAGAGATAGTTATGGCAGATTCCAGGCTGGTGCTCAAGTGACTGAAGGATTTAATGTTGAAGCTTTTGCTGCCAGATATCTCTGGGATTGATAACCCAGCACTCGTCTGCCTTGCTCATATTCAGTGGATTGGTTTCAGGTTGCTGCCTCTGATTCCCTAAGCCCCTGAATGGTCTTGAATCTTGATCCTGTGTTGTGATGTGCCCAGCTGGATGGCCATGCCTGCGCAGAGCCCCATTGACTTGACTGGGATTCCATGTGAGCCCAACAATTTGTTCGTGTAGGTCACAGTGCACAATTGGGGCATTGGCTATTAAGAGCAGCCACCGGCACTGGTTGGACCTGTGCTTGGGTTACTTTCAAAAGACCAGTGCTAGGATCATTTTCACAGGATTAGAGAGACAGGTGTGGATATAGCTGGGAAATCACATAAATTTGTTTTAGCTCCATGTAAGTGAAGTCTATTATCTTTCCTTTAGCAGCTTGCGAGGGTGGTATCAGTGCTCTCATTAGTTAGGGGGCTACTGACACCTGATGTGGACCTTCCTATTCAGTATGCTGATAGGCAAGGCTGAGAAGAAAGCAATCACTTGATGAGGAGAGAAAGTGGATGATGGTTTGCTAATTACTATGAGGCTTTTTTCAGTTTTGAGCAAGGAGACTGTAAAATGTCCCCCTTTAGGTTTCTATTCACCATAGCCCTTTTAAAAGTATTTCTCTTATGAATACATAACATTACAGGTGTATACTGAAGTAAAGTTAACATAAGGAGGGCTAAAGCCATTTTAATATCCTTCCATCATGGACTCCATGGACCAAGTTCTACTCTAGTTAAGCCCCACTGAATGCTTAGTGTAATTCAGAAAATAATTTGGTCTATTATATATTGAGAGTGAAATCCTGCCCCATTGATGTCAACTTCAAAAGTCCCATTGACTTCAATGGGAAAGGGGTTTCATTCTTAATGTTTTAATACTGTTTTTTGTAATATTAATGTATTTATTTCCAACCACCATTATTTCTTGCTCAGACACATAGTGTCAGTTGGAGGAGCTTCTTTCCCATATAAAAATTATTGCGGTACCTGTAATGGCTCCAGCTAACAGTAATTTTAGTGTCTTGACTTAGGCCACTACACGGTTAGGTCGACATAAACTGCCTTGCATTGATCTAGCTGTGGAAGTGTCTTCACTTACATTTGGCTCACACCCATGCAAGTGCCTCTCTACACCAACTTAATAACATCACCTCCCCGAGTGGCACACAGTCACGGTCGATGTAATTAGGTCAAAGCAGTGTCAGTGTTGACATTGCATTACTTACACTGACTGTTACTGGCTTTCAGGAGCCGTCCCATAATGCCCAAGGCTGACAATACAAGCAGGGGTGCTGAGAGCCATTGAACCAAACTGTAAGCCTGGTATATAATAGAAATCACTTCAAGCCAGAGGCTGCGGCAGAAGCCCCAGCACTCCTATGAATACAAATGAGCCTAGTGTCAGCTCACCGCTGACCTAAGGAGCCAAATGTGTGCACACTCAAGTGATTTAATAATTGCAGTGGCTGTATGCCGACGTAAGTTAAGTTGACAATTTTGTGGTGTAGACATGGCCTTATACATTAGAAGGGTTGCAAATATTTTCGCCACTGGTAATAGGTAGAGACAATGTATGATGCAAAAATATCACAACCAGCATAGCAATTTATTACAGATTTTGACTGCTTTCCACGTATGTTCTTGTAGCTTATATTTTCAAATATTAAAGTCCAGAGTGGTGTATTAGCTTTGGGCTGTGCCAAAAGCTAAGGGCTCATGGGAAAGGGTTTCAACTTCCACATGAGTCCAAAGTTTCTTGAAGTAACAAAGGTCACTGAAGCGGAGAGGTGCTATCTATGAATGGGTGGAGCTCTATAACACTGCTGGGCAGGTGTGGGCTTTCCTTCACTCTGGGTTCGAGTTCTCCTTGTTGGATCTCTCCTACACCCCACACCCGTTGGTCTCTCCCCCGCATGTAACTGTACTTCGCTTTCCTCCCACCCCCTGCAGCAAGGGGTGATGAACCATTTGGCTGCAATGATTGAGAGGAGAAATGGCTGGAGAGTGGGCAAAGCTCCCAAAGGTCTGGACTCTGCAGGTGGAGATAAAGTGCCCTGTCATATAACTCTGCAAACAGGAAAACCCGAGAGAGAGAAGCCAGTGGGCACCGAGTAGCTGGGAAGTTGCTGCAGTTATTGCATGGCTAGGAAGAGGGAATGGTCCCCTTCTCCAGGCACTAGGCAGCGTTTAAGTGCCCCCCTGCCCAGACCCCAGCGTTGGGCTATGTACAAGCACTGCAACTGGGGTACCAGACAGAGCAGGCTCCACAGGTGGTAGCAGCAGCTGCAAGATCCGAACCGTGCCCAGCGGCAGCGCGGGGCAGGGAGCAGCCGGTGCGATGCCCGCCCTCTGCAGAGCGATCGGCTGGGGATTGCCGGGGGAGAGGGGGGTTGTGAAAACGCCCCCACAGCCAGGGACGCGGGCAGCTCACTCACCCAGAGGCCAGCGAGGCCCCTCCGGGAGCCGCACAACCAGCCGCCCCTAGCCATGGTGCGTGCTCCAGAGCGCGGCGGGGGCTGCGGCTGGCCTGGGCCCCCTGCGCTGGCTCCGGCCGCTCGCCCGCCCGCCTTCGCCGCGTGAGTGGCTTCCTGGCCAGGGGTGGTTAATGTGTGACGTTCCCGGGGCGGGGGAAGGGGTCCGGGGGCGCTGCCGAGAGCCTGGGCCTGTCTGCCTGGCACATGGCCTTTGGGGTTGGGCCTGGACGGACCGGCCCCGAACCTGGGGAGAGTTTGGAGCGGAGGCCGCATCCCGATGGGAACGTCCCAGCGAGTCTCAAAGAGCAGATACAAGCGCCCAGCTCCAGACTGGGAGTCAGACTCCACTCCCTGCTCCATTACACCACCCATGTATCTCTGCTGACTGCTGGGGAGTGACAGACCCCAAAACTGCCTAGGATTGGCCCCCAGGGTCAGCTTTCCAGGAGCTTAGCTCACCTTGCAGCCCAGAGAAAGTTGCATCAATGTCACCAATTAACACTAATGATCTCTTTTAGGCCTGGTGTACACTGGAAAGCAATAGCAGCATAGGCATGTGGGTCAGGGCCCAGAGTGTGGAAAACCCACACCCCTGAATGACTTAGCTATGCTGCATTAACCCCTTATGTCAATGAAAGGGGGCTTCTGGCAACTAGCTAACTTCATTCAGCAACCTGGTGTTGCTACACCAACGTCCCCTTCTGTTGGTGTTGGCTCTGTCTATGATACCAGGCTATGCAGGTATAATCTCTGCAGTGTAGACATACCCTTAATTAACTCAGGAGGAATCAAACTAAATTGCTGTAAGGCACTGCTAATCCGAAATCCATGGAGGTTGCACTGATTAAACTAAATCAGTTTCTAAGGGATTGTCTACTACAGTTAATATGCTACAGCTGTGCACTGTAGCGCTCAGTGTAGACATTGCTATGCTGATGGGAAGCATTCTCCCATCAGCATAGGTAATCCACCTCCCTGAGAGGTAGTATCTAGGCTGATGGAAGAATTCTTTTGTTGATTTAGTTCTGTCTACATGAGGACTTGGATTGGCCTAACTATGCCACTCAGGGTTGTGGATTTTTCACACACCTGACCGATGTAGTTAAACCAACCTAATTTTCTAGTGTAGATCAGCCCTAAGCAAGTTCAGTTAAATATGTACAATTTTCTTGTGTAGACAAGGTCTTAGACACCTGCATGAACTGACCACATTTTCAAAAGTGCTCAGGGAGAACAATGAGAGCTCCTAGGTGCAGAGCTCTTGAAAACCTATCCCCTAATGTAAACCACTGAAAATATCTCTATAGGAGCTGGAGAGGGAAATGCATTCCCTAGCTGGAAAGTTACTGAGGACCTGCAGCCCTAACTAAATTCACTGGGAAGGGTGGAAGCTCCGCACCAAAGAAAATTGGGCCTTCAGTATTGTTGTTGTTAATAATTATTATTAATTTGTATTACAGTAGTTCATAGGGGCTAATGGATCAGGGTCCTATTGAGCTAAGCACTATACCAACACATGAAGAAAGTTGGTCCCTGCCTGATGAGTTTACACGCTAAGTAATGTCTAAGTCGGGGTCGGCAACCTTTCAGAAGTGGTGTGCCGAGTCTTCATTTATTCACTCTGATTTAAGGTTTCGCGTGCAGTAATACAGTTTAATGTTTTTAGAAGGTCTCTTTCTGTAAGTCTATAATATATAACTAAACTATTGTTGTATGTAAAATAAATAAGGTTTTTAAAATGTTTAAGAAGCTTCATTTAAAATTAAATTAAAATGCAGAGCCCCCTGGACCGGTGGCCAGGACCCGGGCAGTGTGAATGCCACTGAAAATCAGCTCATGTGCTGCCTTTGGCACGCGTGCCATAGGTTGCCTACCCCGGGTCTAAGTGCTTAAAGCCAGTGAACAGATTGTTTGAGATAGATTCCCTAGGCTTCCCCTGATAGCAAATCCCAGGCTTCTGTACATCTTTTCATGCCTTGTTTTAGCTGGAAGATTTCTGCAGTGTCAGTGACTCCATCTAAAACATTCTGGCCCTGCTTTGACATTGGGCTACATGAGGTTATCCAGAGCAAAGTATAATAGAGCTCAAACATCAGCTTTTTTTATTTTTTTAAAATACAAAATAACTACAAATAACCTGGGCTGGTAAATTATTTTTCTAGGTGATGATGATGATAACAGGCAGAGAGAGCACAAAGTTAGTGTGAACATCGGAAATAAGCGGGTTTAAAATGGTCTTAGAGAAGTGCTGGGTGTGTCATTGCCCAGTATTTGAATTTCATTTGTTTGCAGCAAGTTTTAGGGCTTGTACCACTTGCTTAGATACACTTATATGACAAAACCTTAGGATGGGAGCTGGGGGTATAGGAGCTGGGGGTGGAGGGGAAATGGAGCAGAATATAGGAACCGGGGGCATAGGAGCCTGGAGTGGAGGGGGTTGGGGTAGCTTTTAGGAGTATGGGGTGGAGGGGGATGGGGCATGGCATGGGATTAGGGGGGTGGGGCGGGGCAGGGTATGGATGGTCATGGGGAGATGGGGCACGGTTTGGGGGATGGGGCCGAGTCTGGGATCTCAGGTGCGGGAACCCTCCAGGCCAGCAGATGGCAGCAGGCTGCGGTTTCAGCTCCTACTCCGCGGCCCTTCGGGCCCTCTGCGCGAGCCGCCTGTCGCCGGGCAGGCAGAGCCCGGCTGCGGTGGCAGAGGCGCGGTGCGTGACTCAGCACCTGCTCCGGTCCCGCGTGGGCAGCCGGGCGGGATGCGGCGGGGCTGGGCGGCCGCGTTCTGCTGGGCTCTGTGCTGGGCCCTGGCGCGGGGCTCCGAGGACATCGTGGTGGGCTGCGGGGGCTTCGTCAAGTCCGACGTGGAGATCAGCTACTCCCTGATCGAGGTGAACGGCCCGGGTCCCCGCAGAGACCCCGCCTCCGGGGCGCCCCCTGGGGCCTTCCCCCCAGGGATCCTCCCCCGCCCCCCCGCCGGGACCCCTCCCAGGGTCCCCTGAGACGCCCCCATGCCCAGCCGTGTGCCCCGTGCTTCCCTGCGGGGGATTCCTCCACCACATCCCCGGTTCTCCTCAGTTCCTGGGTCCCTCTCCTCTGGGCCCGGCTCGGAGAGCAGCTGGCACATGCCCTCCCTCTTGCCCCACGGGGCAGCCGGGTCTCGCCTGGAGGCAGCAGGGTCCGCCCATTGGCTCGGTTTGTGTGTGTCACGCTGGCGAGCCTGTGTCTGAACTCGCCCAGAGTTTGAGGGTGTCTGGTTCAGGCCCATTTGTGGTTTGAATGGTGGGTTTTATCTGCTCGTCCAGGTTTTTTTTACAAGGTCACCGATCGCTCCGGTGTGTCAGCGCCTTCCATGGAAAATAGTCCCCAAACTGTCCCTCTCCCAAGTTAGGGTGTTTTTTAAAATTGGAGGCTGATGATGTGTTTGAAAGGATTGTTACTATTATTTTTTAAACGGGCTTTGTTGTCTTTAAATCCCATGTGTTTCTGCTGTCTTTATAGTCCAGCTTATGTTGCAGAGGATTGTGGGGGTTTTAAATGCCCTATTAAAGGGAGGCTGTCAACTTAAAAATCAAATTTTGCCTGAATGTTTTTGCCTACCATAGCTCGTAAGAGCTAATCTTATTTGAACTGGCAGACTAGAGAGATTTTTTTTTCCATTTTGTACATTTGACAGCATTTTGTGTTTAGCAAGGTTCATTGTTTTCCCCTGAATAGTCAGTTACTTAATTTCCATTTTGTTTGTCAGTTTTGTATCACAATAGGAGAGGGGGAGAGAACAATTTTAAAAAAACCAAAAACCTTAGGAAAATGTGATTGTAAAACCACAAAAGAGATTGCGTGAGGATTTGGGAATTTGTGTGAAACCACTTTAATTATTTTTTTATGTTGACTAGATTTCATGTTGACAGTATTCCTTTAATGTATTTTGCTCTTAAGTTGCATTCTTTTAAAAACATTCATCCATGTTTTCCCAAGTCTGAGATTCACCTTTTTGGGGGTCCCCCCCTGTAAATTTCCCCTCTGTTATCCCCATGGAACTGTGTGATGGTTTTGAGGTGCAAAATTCACTGGGAATTTCTCTTTCAGACTTTACTTACATGTGAATTTTTCAGAGACGACTTTGCATCTTTTTCTCTTTCTTGTAGATTAAATTATATACAAAGCATGGGACTCTGAAATACCAAACAGATTGTGCCCCAAATAATGGCTACTTCATGATTCCCTTGTATGATAAGGTAAGAAGCCAAAGCTGTTGTGGTCTCTCTACCATGCAATAACATAATGGGCTAATTTAACTTTCAGTCCTGTTTACAGAATGAAATGTCTTTTTAGAGTTTGATGCAAAGTTACACTGGGAAAGCTGATGCTTACATTGGAAAAAAAATGGAAATCCGCTTCAGATGTTTAATAATAGCATACTGGTTTTTTTAAATGATTAATTAAATTAAATTATACTCCTCATAACTTGGAGGCTTTCAGATTTCCAGTGCTTAGGCCCCAATCCTACAATGAGCACTGCACAGGCGGACCCCTGAGTGCCTGTGGTACCCTGTTGACTTCAGTGGGGTTCTGCATGGATATATGGGCCTATCTGCATGGAGCTCATGGCAGGACTGGGGCCTTAGTATCTTCCATAGGCCTCCCGGGGATAATATCACTGAAATGGAAGTCCCTGTTGAGAGAGGCCCCTGACCTATTTCCTGAATGGAGATACTCAAGCAGTCACAGGGATTTGAAAATAATGCTTTGGATGTTTTTAATGTGTTCTTATATACTGTCTAAAACATTGAAACTATGCACTGAATGTTTTTCTTTAAGCTGGATGATTCCATTTAAATCAACAGATCCTCATTATGCTCTTTTTCTAGGGGGATTTTGTTCTTAAGATTGAGCCGCCTCTTGGCTGGAGTTTTGGTGAGTACTTGATCTGTTGTAGAAATGGTGCAATTGCACATGCAGCCGTTCCATTGCCTCCTTTAGACTGGCTTTGATTTGTAGGCAGGAAAAAACAATTGTTTCAAATGAGCTAAGCTCTACCTACGTATGTCCCAGTTATGGTTTAAATGTCTAAAATGTACTTTTCTTTGAAAATTGGTTTGGTTTCATCCCAA